GACAAGAGGTGGGAAGCTGCATGTCAGTTGTAGGGCTAAATTGCTAGACCCAGTTCCACAGGGATGCAGTTGTCTGCTGATTCATTAACATCATGCTACTATTTTTGATCTGTCTAAAAGGTAATACCAGGAGTAAGGCAGTGAAGAATCAAGATAATTTTTTATTTTAATGATTTTGCAACTGTCCATACTAAGACTATTAAATGTAAAGGTTAATTGACAACATGGGTACTTGACTGGAATTTGGAACAGCCTGAAAGCTAAGCAATAAACTGGTTCATGTAAATAGGTTGTTACAAATCATAACATGTAACATTGTACTTTGATAATGGTTCATATCTGGCTTTTACATACATTGCTCTCTTTTGACCAGAGTTATTTTTGTCAGCTATAATTACTCCACAAAAAAATACTCAATTGGAAACGTTAGCTTTTGTGGCTCTTAGATGTCTGTTGTGCCTTTTGGAGCCTTGGAGATTTTAAGTGACTGTACAACACCATAGATAATGTGTTCTGCATGTATTCTAAGTTGAATAGAATGATTTATCAAATAATAATTTTCATTGGAACATTGGACTGATTTGCATAAGTAATGATTTATAAAACTGTGCCTGATAAATTACCTGAATATGGATACTAATCATAACTATGTCTTTGGTACTGAATTCTTGCTACAGATATTTGTATTTACTTTTTAAAGCTGCCTATAGATTGTTAAGGCATAAACAACATTATTCTGTGGCAATATGATTTAGATTATCTATATGATTATACATACATATAATCTAAATATGTGGTACCTGTACTTTTTCAGTTTGAAATGAGACATGTGCCCTCTGAGATGGCGTACACTAAATTCAGTTCCTTACCATAATAATAATGGAATTGGACCTATGTGGTGTCTGTGGTCAGCCCCTGAGCAGTACCTCACCCAGGCTGGGGAGCAGCTGAGAAAGAGGGCAGGCAGGTGTTGGCTGTTGCAGGCATCAACACAGTTCATTCAGGTTCTTGTTTCAGTGCTGCTCACAACTCGGGAGGGGAGCAGCCTGTGGCTAGGATTCATTGCTCAAATGATGGCAGCCCATTCCCCACCACTGCTCTCCTGTAGGTCCCTCTGCCCATGCACAGCAATGCAGTCAGACTCCCCTTACGTGTTGTCCTTCCACCTGATTGTGTTTCTCCCAGCATGTCCCTTCCTAAGAAGCAGGAATGCTGGAGAGGACTGTTGCCCTGGCAATTTCTGTAACCCCCAGTCTACTCAAGGGAACGTTAATAAAAGCCTCAGAAAGAAGACACTAACGTCTCCTGGCCAGCAGCATAGTAGATTGAATGGTTCACCTCATCAGGTCAGGTGAAAACAGGCTTTACCTGAGCAGATACAGTGTCAGTCTGTTAAGGTGATCTTAATGTGTGTGTGTATGTGTCTTTTCAGGGTGTTGATGATGCCTTCTATACATTAGTTCGAGAAATCAGAAAACACAAAGAGAAGATGAGCAAAGATGGTAAAAAGAAGAAAAAGAAGACAAAGACAAAGTGTATAATTATGTAAATACAGTTTATCCTTATTCTTAAGAAGTACTTAAGTAATTTTTGTACATTACACTAAATTATTAGCATTTGGTTTAGCATTACTTTACTTTCTGCTTCATGATCCTGTTAGCTTTATCTGAATGCTTGTTTTAAATGACAGTGGAAACTTCATTCCTCTTAAAGTGCCAGTATTCTTTGACTGTTGGTTCTTGAACTAGCAATGCCTGTGAAACAAAAAACAAAAACAAAAAAAAAAAAAACACACACAAAAACCTGAGAACTGTCTTGGGACTCTTTGGTGCATGCACAGTTGCTAACTTCTTATTTTTCTTACTGATTGTGAACTTCTGTTCTGTGTGCAAACCAAACAATGAAATGATGCTCTATACATTCTGACATCCCCTTTAGGGTTTTTTTTGGCATTTAAATCTGGTTGGGAAAAAGGACTAGTTAGCAAAAGAGACTTTTCATTTCAGCCTTTTATTTTAGACTGACTGCAATATAGAGAGACCAGAAGCCTTTATAGTCTTCCTGTAGATTTTGCTTCTAGGCATCTAGTCTTGTAGCATTTGAGATCAACTTTAATGAATGTAAAGATAAAACTTTCACAAAAAAAAAAAAGAAGTTTTTCACTGCAGTTTGTCTCGGTCGCTCCTTAAATACTCTATTTTTTCTATAAAAAAAAGAAAAATTAAAAAAAGACAACAATGCACATCTGGCAGTGGAAAAAGTAAAAGTTCGAATTAGGTTGATTTGATATTGTTAATACATTGCTTTAAGACTTTCACTAACTTTTTGTGTCTGAAGACCAAGGTGAAATCCTAGCTCTCCTGTGTGACAAATCTGTAAGTAACTGTTCAGTAGGTACAGGATTTCACCCTTAATGTGTCTAGAAAATACAAGAAAGCCTTAACAGATAAGTTGGTTCAAATTCTTAGGTTAATTCATACGTGGATCCAGAATTTATCATAAGAATTAAATCAGAATGAATCCTAAATTATATAGGGAAGTAAAACCATACCTTTTTTTCCCCCCCCAAGAGTGGCATTGAATATTTTCAGATGCCCATTTTGTGCAAAATAGGGGAGGAATTTTAAATTCTAGTAACATCAAATGAATGAATGAATGAGTTGAATTTAGCTGCTTCATGCAAATAATTTGGAAATCCACTATGCCATAAAAATGGTGTGGAATTTGCACAAACCGTCTGCATAAAACATGGTTTCCAGAGTCGATGTTGTTTGTGTACTGTTCGTGAAGTACTTGTTTTGTTGCACAGAATAAATGGTTGGTGAGTGGCATTCCAGTGTCTAGACTATGGTGAAGCTAGACCAAGATTTTAACATTGTCTCTCTCTGTGATTTAAGTTCTCTTGTGATCACTCCCCCTCTTTCCTTTCTCTGATTGGAATTAATGCAGAATTTTTGCAGAAGCTTTCAGTTTTTGGTACTGCAGTAGTCTAGGTATTCTGCACTGAAGTAACAGCCAGTAGTAATTCCAGTGTTGCCAGCTCCTGTTGTCTTACTGTGTGTAAACGTTGCATTGTTTGGTTGGTTGTTAGGGCCTGGGTTCCTGAAGGTATGCTTCTTCATAGTACCTAACTCAGCTGCAGGGTGAAACATGAAAATGTGACTCTGGTGTACCCAGAAAAGTAAAACACAAGACATCGAAGCAGGATAGTTCAGGACACTGGAAAGTCTGGAGCAGGGAATAGCAGCATTGCCCTAACCTCGAAGTATACCTAAAGAATTCTGTGCAAATCTTACACAGTACAGTTTTCTTGTACCTGCGTAACTTGGACCATTTATAGGATGTCAAAGGTGCAATTGCATGAGGAAAGTATTCTCCTGCTTCTAAAATACCCCCCCACCCCCACCCCTCCACCCCCTCCCCAAAAATCTTGTAGGTGGAGGGTTGCCGAACAGGCAGGACTGCTGCCTGTCTGGATTGCTGCAGCATGTCTGGATTGCTGTGTGTTAATTTCAATGTGGCTGAGAAAAATAATGCCCTTCCCTGCCTGCACCTCCCCATTCCCCATCCTCCACCAAACCCCATGCTCCCTCCCCTCCTTTCAGCTTTGATGTGAAATATAGATTATTAAATATTCTGAAAAACAGTAATAGGAGAACCTAACATTATATCATAAGGACCAATAAGGAATGAGAAAAGATTCTTAATGTTGCAAAACATTTTATAGCTTCCAAGGTTAAAACATTTTGGAGACAGTTAGTTATTTGCACATTTTAGACACTCTTGATTATATATGAAGAAAATAGCAAAAGTGGGTAGTATACCTTGAGTAAATGGAAGTAATCTTAAGTTTACTTCAAGATTTTTGGTAACTGAGTCACACTGCATGTAAAATTAGGGCTGGTCTAAGATTCTTAGTTAATGAAAAACTGGAGAAATTTTAGATGAAAAGTCTTAATCATCAAATGTGGATTTATATAGCTCTGATATAAAGCTATATATATAATAGTTTTGTGTTGGGGTTTTTTAGTAAATATGATCCGTAGCTACCAGTCTAATTAAATCAGTACAAACCCTATTTAGATTAGCCCTTATTTACTTCAAAAAATACACATCCTTGCCACTGTTGTGCAGTTTTGTCTTAATATTTTTGAGATTTGGTGAAGCATGTTGGATTGCAGCTTGCACAAGTCAATCTCATAATTATCCTGTCTTTCCCTATTTGAAATGCTTTCAAAGAACATACCTGGGTGCTGTCTGTTCTGATAGCAGCTACTAAATGAATATGTGAATTGCTTACCACATTAATACATTAAAATTGCCATGTGTCAGGGAGTAACACCTTCTTACAGTAGCTTTATGTAACTCTGGTAAACAACTTTCTCATCAGTTTTTCTCAGAACTGAAATTTCATTATTTTGACCAGTCTCATTGCCCCAAAATGTTTTCTAACTTAGTTTCACCATATAGATTTTGTTACGGTAGCATGATCTCTGTAATGGGTAAATACTGACACACAATCTTCTGCTCCTGTCTACACTCTGAAGCAATACAATTACCTTCAAAGACCATCAGACTGTAAACAAATCATTTTGTCTCAAGTTTACATAAAGCTACATAGATGGTAAATCTTTCCTAACATTTCTTTATTCCACTGTCTTGTGTTTTCATGTTGAAAATACTTCTGCTTTTTCCTCTTGAGTGCCAACTTCTTACTAGAATGACTTCTTAATGTAATATGTTTACCTGGAATGTATTTTAACTATTTTTGTATAGTGTAAACTGAAACATGCACATTTTGTACATTGTGCTTTTTTTGATGTGGAACATATGCAGTGTGATCCAGTTTTTCCATCATTTGGTTGTGTGGCCTAGGAATGTTGGTCATACCAGACATTAAGTTAAAAAAATGAAAAAAGAAAAAAAAAAAGACCACTGTTTGTTTTAAAATTTTTAATGTTTTTAGGAGTATGTGCTGTGAGGTGATCTGGAATTTGTCATTTTTTTGTCAAACTGTACTGCTCCTATTTATTGTAATGTAATAAAAAATAGTTATTGTGAATTTCTGCCCCAGTTTCCTTTTTCTCTCCAAGAACTTTAGTTCCATACCTTAGGAATGGAGTACCCTCTGTACTGCACGTGTTTGGCAGTTCAGTTCTGTTTACTTCTCATCCTTCCCATTGCCTGCCATGAAGTGCTTTATTGTGGCAGTCCATCTCCTCTGATGCATGCTGCTGCTGCTGCATTCTGTGCTCTGCAAGGAGCAGAGCCTTGCTTTGGGTGAGGATGCACCTCTCACTGCTGTGTGCTTCTCGGGCTGTACCATCTACAGCCATGCCCCAGAGCCCTTATTTCATTAGTCTAACAGCAGACTTCAGTTAGTCTACAAGTTGTAAATACTCTCAATAGCTATTCTGTGTTTATTCGCAGGTGCACGTTTGTTTTCTTCTATCAGATGCCTTCCATAAACTTACATAAAACATGAACAACATATTTTAGTACCGGTCGTGTCCTAGGTGGGGAAAAAAGCCTGAAACTGCTCCTGCTTCATAAAGTTACGATTTGGCCCTTTGTTATGTGGATCATCTTCTATCAGTTACTGAGAGGGGTAGGTTAAATTTTTTACATGGAGGTATTCATTCAGAACAGGTTTTAACTGCAACATACTGTAGAATTCAGCTGATGTGGAAGGGCTGCTCTTCACATCAATGTGGTGCTACAAACAGCACACTTCCTCAGAAGGTAGTATGCTAACTGCCCAGCGTTTTTCTTCATTCTGTTCTAGAGTTCATACATGTGAAGACTTGCTATTGCCAACAGTTTTACTGTGATGCAGTGATGACTTACCTATATTCCAAAGATCTTCTGTTCTCTTTCCAGTGTCGCGTAGTTCTTGGTGGGGGTAGAAACACCATCCAATCCTAGTAGACACATAGTTCTGGCACAGGTTTGTGCTAGTTGAGCTAGTCAATGACATTAGCTGTGGAGCAAACATCCACAGTCAAACTTCTGTTCCGGGGGGAAAGCATAAAGTTCTGTATTGCTGCTACAGCAGTTACGCAGTGTCAGAAATCAGTAGTAGCAGGAACTGTCTTCAGGGTCAAAGTGCTTAAACCACTCCTGTCCAAATTCACCCCCCCTTTCTGACTCCGCAGTCTTCTGCCCAGCACGGTGGGCAAGTGCCTCTGCCAGCATGACCCTTACAGAGGGGGCAGATGTAGTTGAAAATCCTTGAAGGCACTACTTAAAGGGAAGCAAAGGCCTAATCTGTATTTCAGATGGGTCAGAAGGATTAACGTTTCATTTGGTTTTAGGTTACAGCTTTTATTGTTCATTTTTTAAGGCTCTGTATCATTACATGGAAGTCATTAGCACCAGTTACTGATTGTCGTCACTGTAGTAGCGCTGTTTCAGAGCTCTGTATTTTCTGAGGAAGTACAAAGCTTCCAGCTCTTTTATAACAAATTCTCCTCGTGCAATCATCTGCTTGATCTTCTCCGGATCTTTCTCATCTTTATTTTTTAGAAAAGCTGCTTTCAAACGCTTTCTGAAGTAGTCTGCTCCTTTGGGATACTCCCTTCCGAGATACAGCAGCTTGAAGGAAGAAAAAAGAAAGATATTATTGGGCAGTGAAAGGGGTTTGTCTCGTTAAGGAAGGTGCTCGTGGTGTTTAAGACACTTACGTTTTTGTATAGATTTCTCACTTCACTTCTTAAATTGGCCATTTTCACATTTCAGTGACCTCTTTAGTTGCGTTTGACTGGGGCTTTTAACCTGAAGGATAATCAGTTTGACATTAGCCTTGCGGGGAGCAAGCACGTCCCAGCCTCCCGCTCCTCGGGAACAGCACGGGCTCTAACCATGCTGTCATCCAGCTGAGCCCCCTTTGCTCAAACGCTGATACTTTCTGCTTCTCTCTCCTGCTTTTGGTTAACTTTTGTTTCTTTCAGCTTCTCTCCCCACTTTCTGCCTGCCCTCCTCTCAAACAGAAAACAACAAAATTCCAACAGCCTTCAGCTGCAGTCACGCTTATCTGTGCTGCTTGTCTCCTGCTCGCTTACGGGCTTTCTACCTAGCTGGCAGCTTCTTTATCTGCGATCTGCTAAAGCAATACTCATACCTGTACATATACATACAGGGTTATATATATATATATGTATAAATTAGGAATTCCGACACGTTAGAAACGCAATAAACCCCTTTTTATTTCTGTAAACAAAAGCACACGGAACGCAGCGCAGGTTCCGCGGCCTGGCGCTGCGGGCAGGGGCTGGCAGTGCTTGCGGGAGCCGATGCCCGTGTCCCTGCCCTGTGTTCCCCCCCCGGACACACAGACACGGAAGAACCGCACTGGCCCGGGCAGAACGAGAAGGTCAGCATCTCACCCGCTTCACGCCGCGCCGTAAGCCCCGCCAACCCCGCTTTACGGCAAAGCCGTAACGAAGGGAGGTACCGCCCTTCTCCCGGTGGGGGGAGGCGGTGGGAGGAAGGACGCACGCCATTGGTGTCGGGAAGCACGTGGGAGGCGGGGCTGGTCGCCTAGGCAACGCGGCGGTAGCAGGGGCGCCATGGTGAGAGAGGGCTGGGGGTCTGAGTCTCATCACTTGTCCCTTGTCCATGTCCCAGGGCCCCTGTCTCAGAGGGCCGGGGTTGCTGCCACCCGACCCCGGGGACAGAGCTGCCGGCACTGGCCGGGAGAAAGCGGTCTGCTGGGGAAGGCCGCGGAGCTGCACCTGCTCCTTCAGCTGCTGCTGTGGGCAGTAGCAGGCTCTGCCCATGCGGTGGGCGCGGGGCGTGCCAGTGCCGATGCCGATGCCGGTGCCGATGCCGGTGCCGGTGCTGCCACAGGGCTCTGGGCTCCTGTGGGTAAAGAGAGAAGGACGGTAACTGGTATCTTGAGGCACTGGTTAGGTCAGGGAGTGGGTAAGGGTGGACGGAGGTGTTCCATGTTGGCTACTGAAGTACCGTTATATGGAAAAAAAGGATTTAACACTGAAAACAAATCACGTGTAGGGCATGTTAACTTTCCTGCAACCCTCCTTGTGCTGTGGTTTGGTGCTGTGGCTGCTTAGTGTGAAGTGCAGCTCGGAGGCAGCTACACCTTAGTGGTCAGAATAGCTCTACACTAACAAACTTCACGTTTCTTTTCTCCAGCCCGCAGGGAGTGGATTCATGTGGGTAATTAATCACACTGAGGTTGTGTAAAATCACCTGGCAATGCACAGAAAGGGTAATTGGTAAATCAAGTAAGAGGTTGACTCTTGGGTGTTTGGTTTTCTAGGGTCTGTCATTTCCTGTTGTCTTTTGGAGAAGTCCCCTAAATTGCATGTTTTCAAATGCAGTTTTCCTTGAATGACAAAAACCTCAGTGGGTTTCTGTGTCCTTCTAGGTCATTGCATGATGTAATATAATGTTACTAGGAATAGCACATGGCATAAATTGATGAGTTCAGAAAACACTGAAAACACTTTTTTGACTGAATTATGTCTTGGACTATATTATGTTTGATATACATTTATTTTTTTTTAATCAGTGGGAACAAGTAGATACACTTCTGTAACCATAAATATGACCTATGCTGGTAAATTACGATGGTCCAGAGTCATGTGTTAGTGGTTAATTTTCTGCAATATTGAAATTATTGTCATTACAGTTTTTCAGTAGTTCATCTAATTTTACAGAACAGTTGTATTTGCTTGTTATTCCTTTGTACTCGATACCCTGTTCTCTGATACTCACCTTTTTATTTTTCTCCCCTGATCTTCTTAGGCTCCCAAAAAGAAAACAAAGGTAAGTAGTCAGAAATGCATTCTAGTTCGCATACAGCATTTTGACCCTAGCAGTGTTCATTTAGAGAGTGTGCCAGCACAATCCTGTTATTTTGGAAATTATATGAGTAAAATGACAAAGCACTTCATGGTAAAATCAAAGTAAGCATCAGTTACTTCTGGACTTAATGTCTACAAAACAGTATTTTTCAGAGGATCCACCATAATAAAGGTGTTGTGATACCTTGATATTATGCAAATGTACTTTTTAAAAAGAAAAAAATATATTTTTTGTTTTATTTTTTAATCTGTATTTCTTCTGAGCCTGTTGGTTAGGGTCAATCTGTAGCATCTCTTATAAGCAGAGACTGTGGAAGCTGGACCTGTTTAGCCTAGAGAAGAGCAGGCTGAGAGGGGCTTTCATTAATGCAGATCAGTATTTCAAAGGTGGGTGCCAGGAGGAGGGTGCCAGACTTTTCAGTGGTGTCCAGCAACAGAACAAGGGGCAATGGCCATAAACTAAAACACAAGTTTCATGTCAACACAGGGAAGAACTTCTTTAAGCTGAGGGTGGCAGAGCACTGAACAGGCTGCCCAGGGGGTTATGGAGTCTCCCTCTCTGGAGACATTGAAAACCTGCCAGGACGCGTTCCTGTGCGCAGAAGAGGAACAGGCATCTCCAGGACACTAAGGGTATGTGCCTTTTGCCAAGAGGCTGAGTACTGTTCCTGCAAACCTACCAGAGAGGAGGTGGTGAGCACAGCCTCTTGTATGTTTTGCTTGGCAGCTGCTGCCCAGGCAGAGAGCCAATGTCCTGGCTTTGTGCCACAGGCTGAACACAGAATGTGATAGGCGAGGGAGACTATAGAGAGAACTCCACAGGAAACTGTACTGCATAAATTCATGCTGTTGATTATTGTTAATTTGGTAATAGCAAAATTATCCACCCCTCCCCCCAAAATAGATCCTATTCAAACGTAGCCCTTTAGAACTGTGCATCTCACTTTGTTAGCTCTATGTAAAATTATAAGAATGTGAAAAGAAACTGACTAAAGAAGTGATTATGAGCAATTGAAACAAACAGGTTTTCCATTTACACTGAAAAAAAAAGTAATACAAAATTATTACTTTGAACTGGAACTGATTCTTCCCTGAAATATTGATGAGTAGAATTATAGGGTTTACTGACTTTCTTCTAGAAGAATTTTGCAAATAAATGCTTTGGTAACAAAAGTGCTAAGATGCATGCTAATTCTGGTGGGCGTACATTTGTGGTTGGCACTAACTTTTCACCATTGTTTTTGTTCAAGCTTTGTGATAACCTTTTATTCAAAAATACATTTACATTTATATTTATTGCCATGCAAAGTTAAGTGAATAGCTTCTGTTACATTTGAAAATACACTAATCAAATCAAAATGTGAAATAACAGTATTTGTAATGTGCTTTTTGAGTGATGAATGCCAAAGGGCTTTCTTAATTATTTCTAAGTTCACTCTCAACTGGGTTACTTGTAACAATATTTACCAAATTATTAGGAATACTCGGGCAGAGTGGATGGGAAGAAGTCATAACACCGTTGTGTTCATTTGCAGCTGTCTGGATTTAAGTCCTCTTTTTTTGTCTCGCCCAGCTTTGTTGGAACTCTTTCTTTATTCCAAGATGGGTACTATGCTACTGTGCTGGTTTGGCACCTTTCTGTACCTGTTTCTCTTCAGAAGAGAAGCATAAGATTCCAAATAGATCCCTGAATACTGTGAATTATAGGACAAAAATAAGTGTTTTATTTTGGTTAGTCTGTTACACGACAGTAGATTTTGTATGTTACTTACATTGTCTTTTTAAATGTATACCTAGACCACAAAAAATTAAGAAGGAAGGTAATTTTTGAGAACCCCAAATTTAAAATACAGCTATTTTAGGATTAGCCTAGTGGTTAACCAGTTAACTGTCTTGAGTTGCCATGAGGATTTTATGACAGAAAAGAGAACTCTTTGCTAGTCATCTTGTGAACTGGATGCTTCCAAATGCCAGAGTTTCCTATTTTCCAAAATGTATTTCCCAGCATTTCCTAAAATGTTTGAAGTTATAACTTCTGTTTTCTTAGCAGATCTACCATGTTACTCAATTTCTACATTAAACCAAGGGATTTGAATATTCTTCTATTGTGGCTGTGTTCAGGAATTTTATTTCATAAAATAATATATTAATTGAAAGAACACATATTTCATCATGAAAATTAGAAGAAAATTGAATTCAGTATGTGTATTGCTGTTCTGGAGTCCTCACTGAGTATGCAGGGAGTCCAAAATCTTAATTCAGTAATTACATTAGAAGGGCAAAGTTACAGAGGGCAAATACCTCCCAAAATGTTTTACAATAATATTGATTTTTTTTATTTGAAGTTAATTTGAAGTTTTTAATTTGAAGTTTTCTTTTAATTTATTGCAAACACTAAGTCTGATACCAAAAAGAAAGCTGAACTACAGAGATTACAGAGAGAAGAAGAAGAAAGGACGAGGAGAGAGCAAGGTACTGTGCACTTCATTTGAGGGAATATGATGGCACAAGTCACCTATTTTAAATAAATGAGCAGATAGTAATTTCCTAAATGATATGTATATCAACGTCTGTCTCTATTTCACAAACACAGGTGATGCATTCCTCTTGTGTGCGACAACTTCTGTCTTACGTGTTACTGCATCTCACTTTCCTTAGAGCCGTACTTTTTTCCTCTAGCTATTTCTACTGCAATTAAGAACTTTGGAAGGAGGAACTGAATTTTTGTTTTGTTTTGGGTTTATTTTCCTCCTCTCTTTTAATATTGCCTTTTGGAATACTCTCAACAAGCTAGAAAAACCACAAAACATTGCAGGTTTTTATTTTTTTTCCTCCCCCTTCCTCTCAAGCCTAGTTGTCAGTAGTCAAGAAAAAATTCCCTGAAAAGGATTTTTTCCAGAGAAGGCCAACACAGTAAGTCTGTTGGCAGGAGGCTAGCTGGTGTTCTGATGGGGTAGCAGTTAAGGTGACTACAGATTGGGATAGATTAAAGTGTAGTTTGCTTGGGCTTCTTTTGTCTACCGAGTGACTGATTCTTTACCCACTTCTTCAAGACCTTTCTATTATGTATCACTCTATCCCTTAAAATGGAATTCCAGTTGCATGGCTGACCTGTCCTCACCATTGGAATGTGTGCGCTTCTGCAGTTTAGCATCACAAGCTGATACCGCTGTCTGAACATCTGTTCCATCTTTTCTTCCCTTTCTGCCATTAATCCATCCTGGTGTGGGGTTGGGCATGCTGTGACTGCTAGTAAGTCATTACTAATCACTAATAATCTCTGTGGATGGGAGTGGCAGCTCTGGTGAGTGGAGGAAGATTTGGGAACTGCTGTTACTCTTGCCTCTGTGCAACGCATGTACTTGAAGTGATTTACATGCTGGGGGTGACATCCAAGCTGCTGTTTGGGAACATCTAGATTGATGCATAGGTTCTGCTAACCAGGCTGAAGGCTTAGAGGTTGAAAGCAATTTTACTTAGTACTCACATCCTATCGCATTTTCTAGACCCTGTGGCAGCAAAGAAAAGCTAAATCTGTGATCAGGAGTAACTGATCCTGAAGTGTTTCAATGAATAAATAGCTATAAGATTGGAGTTGTAGGAAATAGATTTTAGGAGAGGAGGAGAGTAACTTAGGACTGAAT